TTTTGCTGGGCTGAATTAAGCATTTTTATTGTGAATAAACCCATTCTACCCTAAGCCAGCAGCTCAGAGCCAGGCTGCAAATGGTCTAGGAAAGCTACAGGTGGGAAGGGGGTGGCAAGCAGAGCTCCTGGGTGCCGGGTCCCAGAGACTGAGCAGGAGCTATGCCTGGGACCCCTAAGAGGACCCTGGCCTGCAGGTGCCAGCCCAGCCCTCACAGGAAGGGGAGGCTGTGCAAGCCCTGAGGTCCCTGGGAATTCACAGAAGAGCTGAGGCCTCTTTCAACCCATCCTGAATCGCCCAGGTTAATATCATAGAGCATGTGGGAGCTCCAGTTACAGGGCAGGCGGGTGAGGGTTGCTTTTAATCCACTGAAGATTCTGATCCCAGAGCTCCAGCCTGATGTGCTGCCTTGAGTCTAATCTTTTCCAGAAATCCTGAGTTTTCTGAGCCCAGCAGGCTTGCCACTGTCCACCGATTCTTCCCCTGGGTGTTCGGAATGCCCCCACCTGGGCCGGCCAGTTCCGCAGCCCACACACCTCAGCAGGGGCGACCCTGGGGCTCAGCATAGCGGAATTCAGATCTCCTTGTTCATAAATTATTGATAATTTCCAAACAGTGACAGCTGAGCAGAGACCACCCCAGCCCCCGGCGGATTCAAAGAGCTGCTGTAGGTGGTAGGGACATTAATGCAGAATGACACACAACACTTGCTAACACCGCAGGACTCCTGCTGACCGGGCTAAGTGGACCAAGGCCAGAGCCCAGGCCTGAGGCTTCATCTAGAAGACTCACAGGAAGCCAACTTGAGCTTGGCCAAGGAGAATGTCTGTCTCCCCCAGATCTGTGTGTCAAAGCCCTTGCCCCTCATAACTCACAGTGGCACTGTGAGGTCTTTAAAGGGGTGGCTAAGGCTGGGCACAGTTCTTTATGACTTATCCCAGTACTTGGGGACACCAAGCCAGGAGGATGAATCACTAGAGACCAGGAGTTCGAGACCAGCCTGGCCAACATGGCAAAATCCCCCGTCTCTACAAAAAAAAAATTGTAAAGCCAGGCATCGTAACGTGTGCCTGTGATACTAAGGAGGCTGAGGCGGGAGGATCTCTTGAGCCTGGGAGGTCGAGGCTGCAGTGAACCATGATAGCACCACTGCACCCCAGCCTGGGCGACAGAGCGAGACACTGTCTCAAGAAAAAAAGTTGGGGGGCAATTGAGTTAAAATGAGGCCACTAGGCTGGCTCTGACCCAGGCGATTGTGTCCTGGAAGGAGCAGAGATGAGGATGGACACACATGGATGACCCTGTGAGGGCACCAGGAGGAGACGTGGCGTCTGCAAGCCCGGGGAGGGGCCTCAGGAACCCGAGCTGCCACACTCCGACTCGGACCCCAGCGTCCAGGGCTGTGGGAGAATCGTGTCTGTTGTTCGACCCTCCAGCCCGGGGTCCTTTGTCACAGCCGCCCTAGGAAAGGAACATGGGAGGCAGAACAGGCTGTGTAGGCCACTCTGTGGGCCGTGTGGGCCGCTCTGTGAGTCAGCACAGGCCGTGTGGGCCGCTCTGTGGGCCGGGGTGGGCCGCGTGGGCCGCTCTGTGGGCCGGGGTGGGCCGCGTGGGCCGCTCTGTGGGCCGCTCTGTGGGCCGGGGTGGGCCGCGTGGGCCGCTCTCTGGGCCGGGATGGGCCGCGTGGGCCGCTCTGTGGGCCGGGGTGGGCCGCGTGGGCCGCTCTGTGGGCCGGGGTGGGCCGCGTGGGCCGCTCTGTGGGCCGGGGTGGGCCGCGTGGGCCGCTCTGTGGGCCGGGGTGGGCCGCGTGGGCTGCTCTGTGGGCCCGGGCCGCGTGGGCCGCTCTGTGGGCCGGGGTGGGCCGCGTGGGCCGCTCTGTGGGCCGGGGTGGGCCGCGTGGGCCGCTCTGTGGGCCGGGGTGGGCTGCGTGGGCTGCTCTGTGGACCCGGGCCACGTGGGCCGCTCTGTGGGCCAGCACAGGCTGTCTAGACCGCCAGGTGGACCGCAGCTGCGGGTGTGAACAGCCGCCTGTCCTCGCGTGTGCACTCACTCGGGTGTCCACGCATGTGCTACATGCTGAGAGCAGATGGCAGGCCTGTTACGTGGGCAGACCTCGCTCCAGAGCCATCCCCTCAGAGAGCCAGCCGAGCGCCAGGAGGCCTGGTGTCTAAAGGCAGGCGGCAGAGGATCGTGAAGCGGGGGATGGCCGGGGGCGGGGGACGGCCACCCAGTGAGAGGCAGTCATTCTCTTGGCCATTTTCTAATTACTTTTTACTGTTTAAAATGCCAGATGGACAGGTGCTTATGCAGAGTAGGGGAGGATGGCCCTCAAAAGCCCCATCCCCGCCTGCCTGGTCCTCAGCCCAGTGATTGGGGGTGGAAGGAGGGGAGTCGTCCCCTGTCCCCCTTCCGCTCACCTGCACCTCTGAGCAGAATCCTGACTGTTTCTAAGGCAATTGAATGCGGCTGGTGGAGAAGCCCCCAGAGCCCCCTGCAGGTGGATGACGGGAGGGCAGGACCTCAGGGCCCACATCCCAGAGAAGAGCAGAGTCTGAGGACAATGACGTCAGTACAGCGGGAACTGCCAGGTCCGGGGGAGGGGGGGGCACGCTGGGCACAGGGGCAGGGTCCTCCGGGACCTGTCTGGAGAGGAGTTCTGATGAAAATGGGGTCCCCAGGACCCCAAGGTGAGACCCCAGGTGTCAGCAGGGCACTGGGCTGAGGGGAGCCTGGGTCCGTGCCTGGGAACATGGCCAGAGGACTTCATGGCCAGGCTGCGCTTGGGGAGGGAGAAGCTGTGGATGGGCGGCCTGCGTGCAGCATCCGGGATCGCCCTGGACACCAAGGCCCCACCACAAGGGCCCACTGACGCGAAGGTGGCTCCCTCTTGGCTGCGAACCCACCACGTTCACTTCTTGCTTCGTCTGTTTTTCAGGAAAACGTTCTCTTAGTGTATTCGCATCTCAGCACAGGTTCTCATTTGGCACCTGAGTGGCATCAAACCAAAGTGTGTAGGCCAACAAGGCTGCGCCACTCACAAGCTTGCCTTCGTGGGTCTCCATGCCTGAGTATCCGACACCCGTTCCTCTCTTCAGTCTCTTAGGGAGGCTTCAGTCTGTCTCAGGTGCTCACGGTGCCAGCCACAAGGAGGTGGAAAAGGCCCTAACGCTGCAGTCTGCTGGGATAGGAAGCCAAGCAGCGCCTGGACAGCAGAGTTCTTCGTGGGCAGCAGACAACCAGACAAGACCCTAATTGCGCTCTCATTTGCTCTCATTCGACGTTCTTCTGTCTCTGCCTAGACTGAAATAAAGAGCCAATCTCTCTCGTGGCACAGGGGAGGAGACACGAGCTCGTTTACATTTCATAGACCTAAGAACACGTCTACCGAAGTCTGGTCCAGAGGGATGGCGCAGGGAGCTCTTAGGTCAGCGCTGCTGGCTGGCGGACGTCCCTAATCCGGCTTTGCAGCCTAGGTGCAGGAGTACTTTCCCGCTCTTCCACTGGGGCTGTCCCAAGGGTCGGGCCCGGCCTGGGACAGCTGCCCACCTGCTCCTACAACACCAGCATGCGAGCTGGGAAGGCCTCTGTGTTCAGACAACTCAACAAAGAGATCCTGGGCTCTTCCCCTTCCCCTGGGGCATTGGTCAGGCCCCAGCCGTCCTGGGTGGTCCTGGCCCCGCCCACCCCTCACAGGGGCTGCCTTCACGGGGTCTGCAGGCCTTCAGCACCTCAGGAGGCTGTGCGCCCAGTAAAGGGGTGCAGAGGGTCTCCAGAGGGGGCCAAGCAAGCCTGCCAGGCCCCAAGGGATCAAGGACTGTGAGTCTTCGCCACCACCCCAGTCATTGCTCCTTCCTGGCTGGGGTCTCACACTGGCACCCATGCACGGAGAGACCTGCAGCCACTCCCCAGCCCCAGGTCTCACAATTCTCACCTGGGGAGGCTGCGCCGGGAGCCCCGTGATGGGGAGTTGTGGCAGCTCCGTCATCTCCTTCCACCGATGCTGACTGACCAGCTGAGCTGGACTTTGAGTTGTGGCCGAGAACTGGACAGGGTCCTCCCCTCCCAGCTGCTGTCCTTAGGTAGATGGAAGCCAGGGCAGAGGCTGCCAGCCGTGGCGGGTGCCATGAACAGGGTAAGGCACAGCACCGTCTGTGCCTCCCCATGGTGGCTGCTGTGCCCCAATCCCTGGCATCCACCTGCACTCCTGCCACGCAGGCTCCCTCAGCCTCTGCACTTGCCGGCACACCTCCAGCTCCTTTCTTCCTCCACAGGGTCCCTGCAACCCCAGCACACGCACAGCCCGCCCTGCCCGTTTCCTGCTTTGCAGCAGTTACCCCGTCCCAGGTCACCCTCCTTTCCATGATCCACTTCTCCCACCAGAATGTCCCTCAGGTGCCCCCTAAGTCCCAGGAAAATGCTCAGAGCACAGAAGCTGTATAATAAAGCTTTCTTAGGCTGGGTGTGTGGCCCCCGCTTGTAATCCCAGCGCCTTGGGAAGCCAAGGCGGGTAGATTACCAGGTCAGGAGATCGAGACCATCCTGGCCAACATGGTAAAACCCCATCTCTTAAAAAAAAAGAGGTTTCTTAAATGAATGAATGAATGAGGAGATGACATTGGAGCTGAGATGTCAATGATGAGAAGCCGGACTCAGACCGCTGGGGAAAAGAACGTGCAGGCAGAGGGAACACCTGTGCGGAGGCCAGCAGGTAAGAACCAGCCTGGCTGCCTGGGGAACAGAGGGAGGCCAAGAGCACAGCCAGGGGTGGAGGCTGGGTGGGGTGGGGCTGGACCACACAGCACCTAAGGGCCACAGCGAGGGCTTCGGTGTTGCTGGGGGGCAGAGGGAGGCAGGGGACAGAGCCTTGTGGGCTTGTCGCTGTGATGCCCGCCCACGGGTACTGCTCTTCCCTTAGGCAGGCTCCCTTCCAGCTGGCATGGCCAACACTTCAGGCACCAGGTGTAGGAATGCCCCAAACAAATGCCCCCCCAACAAGCAACTCGAAACCACAGGTTTTAATTTCCAGGCGTGATGGCTGCGGTCCCCACAACACAGGGCTGTGTCTGCAGCTGAGGACAAGACGAGGTGCCGCCCCTTCTTGTTGGTCCCAGCTTCAGGGCTTCAGGGCTAAGGGAGGAGGTGTCCTTCTCGGCGCCCTCTGATCAGAGCTGCGTGGTGTGAGGGGGAGCTCAGCGCCGTCTGCTGCCCGGTGGGAGGGAGGGCAGCTCCAGGCCGCTGGCTATCCTGGCCGTCCGGGGTCAGGAGGGGAAGGGGGCCGCCTCCGCCAGTGGGCGGGCCATGCTCTGGATGGCCCACTGCAGGATGCCGTCGAAGGCGTGCTGTGGAACAGAGCGGCAGAGAGAACTCCAGGTGTGCCCCTGCCACGGCCACAGGATCATGGCTTTCATTAGAAGTCACCGTCCAGCCTTCCCTCTAATTCAAAGGTGGGGAAACAGGCCCGAGGCCCCATGGCACAGGCCATCTGAGGAGGACCTGTGTATTTCACCGCACTCCATAACCCGTGGCACTACCCGGTGGCACTTCCACCTCCTCTGGTGGCTCCTTCATGGTGGAGGGTCAGGGCCAGCTGCTTCTTGTTCTGCTCAGGAGCCCAGTGTTCCCACAGGATGGGGCTACAGGGCCCACAGTGCCAACAGAATAAGCCCCAGGGAGGCTGTGAGCCCGCCCCTCCTCTCTCCAGGTATATCCGGGGGCCCTGTCCAGAGGGGCAGCACCCTTACCCAGCACCGGGTCCCCTCGCCCACTCCCAGGGCCTGTGGTTGTCTCGACACCCGCACCATCAGGGTGTGTGGGGCACACCACTGCACAGGGCGGGACCCCCACCCCATGGTCAGCTAGGACCCCCAGACGCCACGCCAGACACTGAGGGGAACACGTGGAGGCTGGAGGAGCTTGTCCTCTTGTCAAAAACAGGGCCCTTAAAAGACACATTTCCCCAGATTCTACCTCCCCATTGTAGCTTAGAGAAGCCTGAGAGGGAAGGGCACACAGCTCTCGGAGGGACGGAGGGTCTGGGCTGGGCCCTCCCCAGGGTAAGTGGATCTTGAGCCTGGTGCTCCAGCCTCTGCCTGCCAGGGTCCAGGTGCTCGGGGGAGGGGCCACGGGGGGGCTCAGCAGTACTGGGCTCCTGCAGGGGGAGGGGATGGGGAGGCTCCTGTGGATGGGACTGGGGGGCACCTGTGGGGGGTGCCCGGGGTTCAGCAGCACTGGGGCTCCTGTGTGTGGGACTGGGGGACTCCTGTGGGGGCTGCCGGGGGTTCAGCAGCGCTGGGGTTCCTGTGGGGGGCTGGGGGCGCCTGGGGGGTGTGCCAGGGTCTCAGCAGCCCTGGAGTTCCTGTGGGCGGCTGGGGGCACCTGTGGGGATGCTGGAGGCTCAGCAGCACTGGGGCTCCTGTGGGGGTCTGAGGGTGCGCCTGTGGAGGGTGCTGGGGGCTCAGCAGCACTGGGGTTCCCGTGGGGGGCTGGGGGCACCTGTGGAGGGTGCTGGGGGCTCAGCAGCACTGGGGTTCCTGTGGGGGGCTGGGGGCGCCTGTGGAGGGTGCTGGGGGCTCAGCAGCACTGGGGTTCCCGTGGGGGGCTGGGGGCACCTGTGGAGGGTGCTGGGGGCTCAGCAGCACTGGGCTCCTGCTGGTGGGTGGAGCAGAGGCAGCCTGAGTTTCCGTGGCTCAGGAGCGGCGGGGGCCTGCAGCCTTCAGCGTGCCCAGAGTGGAGAGCCTGAGTGGTGGCCGAGGTGGGAGAGGGGAGTGGAGGAACGGCAGGTGCCTCAGAGGCCAGGGGAGGCGTCAGTTACCTCGCTCAAGAGGGACTCCAGGTCATCCCTGTGCAGAGTGGGCTCCTGACTGTCAGTGTCGTCCTGGAACCCAGGAAAGAGAAGAGGTCAACCCAACTCCCACAGCCGTCAGGGGACACAGAAGCAAGACTCCCCACAGGGGCCACAGGGCCTAGGGCCTCAGGGGTGCTTCCCCCCACTGAGGTGGGAATTCTTACACCCAGCTCCTTTGGGGCAGGGGCATCAGGTGGTGTGGGCATGAGGGGGCTGGGGATGCCTGCCCAGGGTCCTGCCCACTGGGGAAACCAGCTGCCCAAGGCCCCCAGACAGCCTGCATACTGCACAGCCTCCTGGGGAAAACAAGGGAACTCAGGGAACCAGCAAGGAGCCCCCACTCTGAGGTGGAAGCCTGAGGCCCAGAGAGGAAAGTGCCTGGTCCATGCCAGCCCCACCCCCAGCAAGTACCACCAGGGCCAGCCATGCCGTGGGTGAGCGGTCAGAGTGGGGGAGGTCCCCAGGCGGGCGTCCCCTGCAGAGTGGAGACTGTATTAATGGAATCCCCCATTTGTAACCCAAAACAGCCACATGTCAGCTCCTCCACTCCAGGGAACGCTGGCAGCATAAGGCTCTGCAGCCCTGCTGGCTGAGGGGGAGCTGCTGGGTCTGGAGGGAAAGTCCTGGATGCTCCCTAGTCCTAAGGATGCTGTCAGGGGGTGGGAGACCTACTCAAGACGGGGTCGGGGGCTACACACAACCTTCCCCAGGGAAGGGCGCAGGCTGGGGAGGGGCCAAGGCCGGCAGGACTTTTCCTCCAACATGGTGCCACATTTCACATCACGGTGAAGAGAAAGAGGCCTCTGCTGTTCAGAGACAGAGCCCAGGAGGTCAATGACAAGGACCGCTGCTTGAGCAGCCACAGAAAGACCACCTGGGCAGGGCAGGGGCATCTGATTTAGGCTTGGCTGGGCCCCCAGACACACGGAGGGAGGCTTCCAGAAGGAAGGGGGCAGTGTCCACACGAGCCCCGAAGGGCAGGGCTTGGTCTGAGGCTTGTGCCATGCCAGGCCAGAGCCTGCATGCCGGGGCAGGATGTCACCCTCCTGGGGAGTACGATGCCCGCAGTGGGCTGTCACCCTCCTGGGGAGTACCACGCCAAGTGGCCCGTCACCCACACAACAGGGTGGAGGCACAGCTGGGAAGGAGCAGGAGCCACATGGAGCGAGTGGGACATGTAATCACCCAGGATCCCTAAAGGTTCCACAGAGGCTGGGACGTGCTCAGAAGGCCTCTGCTAGGGACAGTCAAGGCAAGAGGCCACCACCCCTGGAGGTTCATGCAGCAGGGACTCGGGCCTCCCCCATACCCAGCTCCAGGGCAAGCGTGGCCACCCCAGCAGTCACGGGTCTCCCCACCACCCGGGCCCCCTCTAACACCAGAGTGGGAGGACAGGAAGAGCCTACTGACTGGACCTGGTGTCGCTTTGCCTCTCTGGGAGGGCTCCAGCCACAAAATGGGTGGATCCTGGCCCCAGGGAGGGCTGCGGGTGAGATATCTGGAGGGGTCACGTGGGGTGGGGGTTTGCTCCTGCTCTCCCCTCACCCCACCCAGGGTGCCCTGGCAGACTCTCAGGCCTGTGCTGTGAGGGCCTCGCAGCCAACCCTGATCTCACCGTCACCAGCCCTTGGGGAGAGCTTCCTGTTTAACTATACTTAAGTTGCCAGAAAGAGTTCGTTTGATGGAAAATATATATAAATATTTTTTGAGATGGAGTTTTGCTCTTATTGCCCAGGCTGGAGTTCAGTGGCACAATCTTGGCTCACTGCAACCTCCACATCCTGGGCTCAAGTGATTCTCCTGCCTCAGCCTCCCGAGTAGCTGGGATTACAAGCGTGAGTCACCTTGCCGGGCCGAGAAGGGAAAATATTTACTACAAATAATGAGCACATGGTTGGTGGGTGTGGCACAAACACTCGAAGCTGGCACCCAGGGTCTGCCCTGAGATGTGCTCTCCCCACTTGCAACCCAGGGCGTCCCCACCCCCACCTCACTGGCACACATGCAGGGTCCCTGTGGCACTGACCTTGGTGGGCCCGGGGCCCAGGTGGGCGGGGCTGGGGGCCGGTGCCCCCTCCACAGGGGCCGGTGTCAGGTCTCCTGAGCAGGATCTGCAGCGAAGGCCTGTCCTGAGCAGAGGAGGGGGAGGGCTGCCAGGCTCGCGGGGGCAGGAGTGCCCCTTGGGGTGTGGGTGTGGGTGCTGGTGCGAGGTGTGGGGTGTGGGCATGGGTGGTGAGTAGGGGATAGGAGGTCTGGGGTGTAGGGAGGACTGTGGGTGGGGATGTGGGTGTGGGGTAGGGTGGGGTGTGGGGTGGGGGTGGGGGTATGGGGTGAGATGTAGGTAGTGGTGGGGTGTAGGGTGTGGGGTGGGGTGTAGGGCTTGGGTGTGGGTGTGGATGGGGGGTGGAGGTATAGGGTGTGGATGTGAATGAGGTGTGGGGTGTAGGGTGGGGGTGGGGGTGTAGGGTGTGGGTGTGAATGAGGCGTGGGGTGTAGGGTGTGGGGTGGGGTGTAGGGCTTAGGTGTGGGTGTGGATGGGGGTGGGGGTATAGGGTGTGGGTGTGAATGAGGGGTGGGGTGTAGGGTGAAGGTGGGGTGTGGTTGTGGAGTGTATGGTGTGGGTGGGAGGTGTGGGGTGTGGGGTGTGGGTTGGGGCCTCCATGTGAACCGCACTCACTCACCCTGCCCGGGGGGCGCCTGCCGGGAAGTGGCAGCGCCAGTGGAAGGCAGCAGCGCAGTGAGCACACCGCAGTGTGTCTGTGCCATCTCCACACACCCCGCACCGCGCACCGGGAGCCGGATGCTGCAGGAGGCAATAGTGAGGGGCGAGGAGGGGGGTGGCCTCCCCGCTCTTCCCTGGGACCACCCAGAAATGGACGGTGGGCCTGGGCATGAGTGGGAAGCCTACGGTGCTGCTCAGAGACAGAGGGACAGCGGGACCAGTCCGGTCCCAGGAGGCAGGGGCCCCACAGGCACCTCAGGCAAGCCAGGAGCCCAACCTCTCGCCCACTTGGTGGGCCAGCCTCCTTCGGGGCTGAGTTCCGGGCTCTCCCGAAGGGCATTGCCCACAGGGCTTTAGTGGGGGGGATCAGGCAAGGTGGGGAGGATGAGGCCCGGTAGGGGGGTGAGGAGCAGTGGGAGGGATGAAGAGTGGTGTGGGGATGTGAAGCAAGGTGGGGGGATGAAGCATGGTGAGTGGGATGAGGTGCAGTGGGGGCATGAGGTGTGGTGTTGGGGGATGAGGCAGAGTGAGGATGAGGCACGGTGGGGGGCGGAATGAGGCACGGTGGGGGGATGAGGTGCAGTGGTGGGGATGGGCACAGTGGTGGGGGCATGACATGTGATGGAGGATGAGGCAGAGTGAGGATGAGGCACGGTGGGGGGCGGAATGAGGCACGGTGGGGGGATGAGGTGCAGTGGTGGGGATGGGCACAGTGGTGGGGGCATGACATGTGATGGAGGATGAGGCAGAGTGAGGATGAGGCACGGTGGGGGGAGGAATGAGGCACGGGGGGGATGAGGCGCGGTGGGGGGATGAGGCAGAGTGAGGATGAGGCACAGTGGGGGGATGAGGCAGAGTTAGGATGAGACACGGTGGGGGGTGGAATGAGGCACGGTGGGGGGATGAGGCTGAGTGAGGATGAGGCACAGTGGGGGATGAGGCACGGTGGGGGACGAGGCACGGTGGGGGATGAGGCACGGTGGGGGATGAGGCACGGTGTCGGGGGACGAGGCACGGTGGGGGGATGAGGCACGGTGCGGGGATGAGGCATGGTGGGGGATGAGGCACGGTGTCGGGGGACGAGGCACGGTGGGGGGATGAGGCACGGTGTCGGGGGGCAAGGCACGGTGGGGGGATGAGGCACGGTGAGGGGACGAGACACGGTGGGGGGACGAGGCACGGTGGGGGACGAGGCACGGTGGGGGGAAGAGGCACGGTGGGGGGACGAGGCACGGTGGGGGGACGAGGCACGGTGGGGGGATGAGGAAAGCTTCGCTCCCACTTGCACTGAGTCATCCTCCCCTCATTGTCCTGCCTTGTGTGGGAAGCAGTGATGCCCAGGGCCAGGAGCTGGAGTGGAGGTCCAGGAGCAATGAGAGGACGTGTCCGGAAGCCTCCCCTTCCCCCTACAGCCCCCCACACTCCCCCCACCAGCCCCCACGCTCCCCTCACAGCCCCAGGCCCTGTGCCTCCTTCTTCTTCCGTTTCAGGTGAATTCAGCCCTGTAGGTCCTGGGCTCCCACCCTGACCCCCACTCCCGGCTCACCTGCTGCCCCTCAGGGCTCACACACAGTAGGGGGTGAAGGGCCGAGGGGTCCAGCCCTGGCAGGGGGGCTGCGGGAGGCAGGGCTGGCAGGTGCTTGTAGATGAGAGACGTGTCCATGCTGGCTGGGGGCTCCCCGGGTGGACCCCTCAACTCCTCTCCCGCTGACCTCTGCCCCAGGGGGAGCTGGAACCCAAGGGTCAGCATTCAGAGGGGCAGCAGGGACCTGCCCAGCTCCACCCAGTTGGTGACTGCTGGGACCCTGAAACCTGGACAGCGGGGTAGGGGTGGAGGCCAGCGTGGCGGAAGGCATCCACGCTGGGTGGGAAAGGCCTGTGGCAGTTCCCGGCCCTGTGGTCCTCCATCCTCACCCAGCGACACCGAGCCCTCAGGGCTGTGGGAGGGAACGCTGGCTCTGCATGGGGTGTGCATGGTGGCCCTGCTATCTTCGCAGCAGCAGCCAGAGGAGCACAGCTCTGGGGCTTCTCAGTGCTCATCGTGCCTCCCCCGGGCGGGCCCCACAGCCGGAAGCTGGGTTCAGGCTGGCAGGAACCGTGATGGGGGCTCCGCCGTGGAAGACCACAAGGACTGGGCTTGGGCATTGTGGGGAGACAGTGCTATGGCTGGGACAGGCCTGTCCCATAGGACTCCAGGGGGCAGGCAGACAGGAGGGGTGGCCAGGACTGGAGTGGGCGTGGCCATACCGCGGTCTCCACGGGTGGCTCCTGGGGCCGGGGCTCCTCTCCCCGGGGCCGCATCTCAGAGACTGTCGCCTGCAGGCAGCTGGAGCACCTCCAGGTCCCACTGCTCGCGTGTCCACCAGTCAGAGATACAGAACAAAACGGGGTGACAGATCCCCAAATCCAAGGACGGGGCCCCAGGGCTCAACAGCACCAAGTCCTTTTACAGACAGGAAACCAAGGCACAGCGGGGAGCTGGGCAGAGACTAGAGCAGGGAGAGCCCAGCAGGGGACATTTGCCCATGTGGGGTTGCCCTGGCCAGCGTGATCAGGGTCCCCTTCGCGTGCTTCTCTGATGAACCCCGGAATCTCCAGTGCAGTGGCCATGCCTGCCTCTCAGGGCTGGGCCCTGCCAGGGGCCTCCCCAAGCTGACTGTGTATGTCCGGGACCCACCCGTTTCCTTAAGGGGAATGGCGCCCGGCAGAACGGGAGGTGACCAAGGGCAGAGAGAGACAGCAAGGAGAGGGCTTCAGAAGGAGCCAAAGGATGCCCCCCGCTGTGCCCCTTATTCTGGTGATGCTGTGTGAGGCTGAGAGGGGGCCTGGTGACAGCCACTCAGGGGCTGGGGCAGAGCCTCGCTGGAACGTGGGGTCCCCACTCCACCCAGAGCTCTTCCTCCCACAGACTGCCACTTCCTGCGGAGTTGGGGTGGAGACAGGGCCCAGTGTGCTGTGGGGAGGGATTGCCAGGGTGTGAACGCAGAGGAGGCCTCTGGCCCCACTAAACCTGGGATCCTGGACATTGGTAAAGTCCCACCTGCCTTTGGGGGTGCAGCTCTGTGGCCTCTGTGCTCCCCAGCCCTGCCTGGGGTGGGACTCTGGGATGGGGGCCGGTTACTCATGGGACTGTGGGCTGGAGCCTGGAGTGGGCTTGGACCCCGCCCAGCATCTCCACCCTGGGCCTCTGTTCTGCTTTGCTGCCCTCACGGGCCCGGCTGTCCAGGCTGGGCGGCCAGTGTGACCAGGCCAGGGGGCAGGTGGCAGGGTGGAAAAACCCCAAGCCCCATCCCCACGACCCAGTGACCTGACCCAGAGCCCCGCTCCCTCATGGATGGGAGAGCTTCGGGGTGGCTTTCCTTCAGCATCAGCAGGTGGAGGGGGCCGTGAAGCGGGATGCCAGTTTGCACTGGCAGAGGTGCTGGCTCACCTGGGGATCTCCCGGAGTGGCGGGGTCAGGCAGGCCAGGTGGAAGGCTCGAGGGCAGCCGTCACAGCAGATGAGCTCCCCGCCGTCCCGGCACACGGCACACTCGTCCTCGTTCTTCTGGGACGGGTAAGAGAGGGCTGGGGTGCAGCACCCTCCTGAGAGCCACCTCCTCCCCGAAACGGCTCTCCACAGAGTCTCTGGGGGCCTGAGCTCCCCAGGCTCTGCCCTGCCCCCATGCTGCTGGGGCCTGAAATTCCACCCTGACCCCCTGCTTCCTGTCCATCTCGTCTCTGACATACACCTGCCATCCTTACTGGGAAGAAAGCCCGGTTTCTTCAGGGCTGCTGTGTTCCAGGGGCCAGGGAGCTATACACCCCCACCACACGCCCTTCCTCACAGGGCAGTGGGGCCAGGCCCAGGGAGCCCCTCCTGACCTCAGCGCCTGCGGAACCCTCTGCCCTCGGCCCCACCCTCCTGGTGCCCTGCCTGGATGGTGCCTGCTATGCCTTCAGGGGCCTCCCAGACAGAAGCCCCCCCAGACACCCAGGTTAGGCTGGTCCCACCCAGCAGTGACTTCACTTCGCCCATCGGAGATCGTCGGGGTACAGCCTGGGCCAAACACCTGAGAGGACCTCATTTTCTCTGACTTATTTAAAATAATATTATAATTGTATATTATGAGGAAAAAACACTATTACAGAAAAAGAGCTCTACCCTGTGGGGAGGGGCTTGGGCCCTGGTGCTGGTCCCTGAGTGCCTGGGACGAGACAGAGGCAGCAGGACCTGCTGGAGGGGAGCGGGGGCAGACAGGGGCCCTCCTGTGCTCTAGGGCGTTACCTGGTGGGGCTGGGGGTCACCGGGGAGGACCGGAGGGGCGGGAGCCCTGCCCTGCTGGCCCAGCCTAGGCTCACCTCCACCCTGCAAGGAAGAGAGCATCAGCAATGGGGGTGGCCTGGGCAGTGAGGGTGCATGTGGCTGTGGAGCCAGGTGTCTCAGCAGCAGCCCCCAGCCCCCAGCAGAGCTATCACCCCGGAGGCCACGCTGTTCCTGGGTGGGGGTATATCAGGAGCCGGGCTCCCCGGGGACAGGTGGGTGCTTACGGGGGTAGCGCCCTGGGCTCCCTTGGGTCGAACCAGAGGCTTCAGGCCACCGCTACTGCGGGCCTTGCTCTTCCCACCACCGGGATCTTCGAACTTGCTGGGAGTGTAAAACTCTCCCCCGACCTGGATGCACTTCTTGGAGCTCCCTGGAAGGAGACGCTGGCTGGTCCTGCCTCACCCGCCCAGCGGGACCTGCCTTGGTGGTGGTGTAGGCCCTGGGCTGGGGCCTCACAAGGACAGGTGGAGTTCCCCAGCCTGCATTCCTCCAGCCCACCCCCACCCACCGGTGACTCAGGCCCGAGGATTGTCCTGGGGCTGTCTGCACAAGGGGATTCAATAGTGTCCCCCAAAGTTCACGTCCACCCAGAACCTCAGAGTGTGACTTGGAACTGGGGTCTTCCTAGACGTGATTAGTTAATATGAGGTCGCACTGGACCGTAAGATCAATCACTGGTGTCCTTACAAAAATGGGACACACAGGAATCAGCTGTATGACCACAGAGGCATAGCCTGGAGCAGTAGGGTCCTGAGCCCAGGAACGAGGGCACGGGGCACCCTCACAACAGCCAGCAGCCGGGAGGGACAAGGAAAGACTGTTCCCTTGAGCCTCCAGAGGAGCGCAGCCGGGACGCCTGGACCTTGGCATTCTGTTGTTTTAAGCTTCCAGCTTGTGCCAATTTGGTCCAACAGCCTTAGGAAGTAACACAGTGGCCCTGGGGCCCTCCCAGAGGTGCAATACCAGGGCCCTGGCTGTCCTCGGTGTCCCTGGCCCATGTCCAGCACCAAAGAGAAGCCGTGCAGGGACTGGAGATCAAATGCCCCAATGGCACGGTGGGCCTGCCGCCAGCAGCCCTGGTGTGCCCTGGTCAGATGGTGCTGGTGATTGCATGGGGTGGCGCCTGACCAGGGTATGGGGCAAGGGCACCGCAGGCTGGCCAGGGTACAGGGGCAAGGACGCCACAGGCTGGCCAGGATACGGGGGTGAGGGCGCTGCAGGCTGGCCTGCTTGGAGTGCAGACCCCCTGGAGGTCCTCATCAGCACCAGCAGAACTTAAAGATGCAACCCCATGGCCCAGGAGGGCCCTTGCGGGTGGATGGAGGTGATGGAGAGTGCCACGCACCCTGAGCTGACATGCATGCCTGGACCACTGGCCTCACAGAAGACCCCCCCCTAACTGGGAGACATCAGTGGCCCTATTTCTCCTCCAAAGTCAGAAGAACCACAGGCAGAAACTCTGGCTACCTGAGCAACAGCTCTGTCCGCTGTAGGACCATGAGTGCGCAAAGGGCGGGGTCCACCTTACATCTTGGGGCCTGGGTCTCCCCGTCAGCCACCCTCCCCACCGCAGCGTCTACCTGACTCAAACACCTGCTGGATGAGGATCCCCTCCACGGCCCCTCGGGCTCCCGGGACGTCCCCAGAGGACACGGTCACAGCTCTCTGGACTGAAGCTGACATGGTCTGAATCCCTGGGAAAGGGACCACCCATTGTGGTCACCCATGGAGAAGACCATTCCCAAGCACATGCCTGGAACAGGTGGTACCTGGCTGCAGAGGCCTCTCCTTCCAGCCAGGGCAGGCTGAGGAGGGGACCCAGTCCTGCCATGTGCAGACAGCCCACAGTAAGTGCAGAGACACAGGAATGTTTGTTTGTGTGCTCATGTGTGTGTGCTCGTGTGTGTGTGTGCTCATGTGTGTGTGCTCGTGTGTGTGTGCTCATGTGTGTGTGCTCGTGTGTGTTGGTGTGTGTGTGCTCATGTGTGTGTGCTCGTGTGTGTGCGTGCTCATGTGTGTGTGCTCGTGTGTGTGTGCTGGTGTGTGTGTGTGCTCGTGTGTGTGCGCTCGTGTGTGTGTGCTCCTGTGTGTGTGCTCGTGTGTGTGTATGCTCGTGTGTGTGTGCTCATGTGTGTGTGCTCGTGTGTGTGTGCTCATGTGTGCTCGTGTGTGTGTGCTGGGGGGGCACTGTCAGCACAGCTGGCACATGGATAGGAAGGAATGACGAATGACCAGGCCCCCCATGACATGGGCCCTGTGTTGTGCTGGGAGGGACACAGAGTTCCTAGTCTCTGCCCTCAGGGAGGACAGCAGTGGGCACAGGGTGTCTCTGGAAGTAATGAGAGGGAAATGGGAGGGGTCCCGTCTGCATGCAGCTGGGGGCCAGGGATGATTTTCTGGAGGAAGCAGTGTCTGGACTTGTCCTGAAGAATAGGGAATGGACGGGCAGAGGTTCCTGAGAAGGGGGGTCCCAGAACCGGGTGCAGTGGGGGCGGAGGGGACTGGCAAGGTCATGCTTGGAGCCAGGGTGTCCCCTTCCTGGGTCTGGCCCTTGGGATGGCCCTTGCACGCCAGGCCAGCACGTGCCCAGTCCCCAGGACAGGCCCTCAGAGGGCAGGCCCTGCTCTGACCCCTGACCCCTTGCCCCTGGCCAGGGAGAAGGGAGGCACTCCCGCTGGGCCCTGCTCACCATTCCCAAGCGGAAGGCGCTGCTGCTCTGCGCTGCTCTCCGGCTTCCTGGGGGGCTTGGCCTTCAGTTGAGATCCTGAATAGGGGAGCTGGGGCAGCCTGGCCTCCCTCTCGGTGGGGGTAAGTGCTGGTGGGTGGGGCCCCGAGGTGGGAGGGTGTGGAGTGGGGTCCAGTCCTGGGTATCCCAGCCTCCCGTGGGTCCTTCCCTTTGCGGGGCTCTGGTTTCCCCTCAGTAGAAAGCAAATAAAACCCATGTGCCTACTTCGCCAGCCCTGGGGAGCTCAGTCTTTGGGCAGGAAGGAGCTGAGAGGCTGGTCCAGTGTGTGGGTCTAGTACCCAGAGGGGACCTCCACAGCCCCAGGCAGGCTGGCTCCATCCCAGTGAGTGGGAGCCCGGGTGGGGAGGGGGCGCAGGCTCCCGGGGAAGACTGGAGCCCTCAGCTGGCTTCCCCTGCTGGGTACCTGGGCTGGAGGTGGCCCTTGGAGTCAGGGCTGCTGGCGTGGCAGCTCGAGCCTCTTCTGAGGCCTTCCTCTTGGTGGGGAGCCTGGGTGGTGGCACCAAAGCCTTGGGGATGGCCGGGGGCTTCCTCCCCTTCCGGGGCTGGCTGAGGTCCACATCTGCAGCTCAGGGGCAGAAGCAGGAGAAGAGTTTTCTGCAGGGGAGGCTGGGCCCCAGAACTGGACACCGTGGTCACGTGGGCGAGGCCTGGGCCCTTTGCCTCTTGGGATCCAAGCCCATCCTGGGGCATCACCCACAGGCTCCCCAAACACCACTCCAGCTCCAGTCTAGCTGGGCTGAGCTGGTGGCAGCAGCTGCCCCAGGCCCCCCGGCATCCAGGCCCCCCGGCACCCACCTCTGGGGGAAGCTGTCGAGGATGGGCTGCAGCCGGCCGTAGCGCTGCAGGTTGTAGTCCTTGAACAGAACCTTCCAGAAGTCCAGGATGGCTGCGGAGTCCTGGGTCAGCAGCCAGGACAGGAGGGCGTGGAAGGCCTGAGGGCAGCCCTCCTTCTCCTTCAGACGAAGCGTCTCCTGCAGTGGGTGGCATGAGGGTCCCTGCCATGCTCACCCACACCCCGCGGCCTGCCTGTCACCACTGTGACTAGAGGGGGGCGCTCCCAGCAGAGGCACTGGAGACCAGGGCACCTCCACGTCCATCTCCTCAGCTTGTGGTGGGGTCAGGTGGTAGCTCAGGGTGTTGAGGGTGGGGGTAAGGAAGCGTCCTGGAGGCCATTCCTTTGGCTTGGGGGTGAAGTGTGGGGATATCTGGGGGAAGAGAGCCAACTTTTTTTTTTTTGAGACAGAGTTTTGCTCTTGTTGCCCAGGCTGGAGTGCAATGGCGCGATCTCCGCTCACTGCAACCTCCGCCTCCTGGGTAAGCAATTCTCCCGCCTCAGCCTCCTGAGTAACTAAGATTATAGGCATGTGCCACCATGCCCAGCTAAGTTTTTTTTGTATTTTCGATAGAGATGGGGTTTCTCCATGTTGGTCAGCCTGGTCTCAAACTCCTGACTTCAGGTGATCCGCCCGCCTCGGCCTCTCAGAGTGCTGGGATTACAGGTGTGAATCACTGCACTTGGCCTTTTTTTTTGAGATGGAGTTTCACTCTTGTTGCCCAGGCTGGAGTGCAATGGTGTGATCTCTGCTCATACAACCTCCGCCTCCCGGGTTTAAGTGATTCTCCTTCCTCAGCTTTCCAAGTAGCTGGGATTACAGGCTCCTGCGACCACGCCCAGCTAATTTTATATTTTTAGTAGAGATGAGATTTCTACATGTTGGTCAGGCTGGTCTCGAACTCCAAACCTCAGGTGATTCACCCGCTTCGGCCTCCCAAAGTGCTGGGATTACAGGCCTGAGCCACCCTGACGGGCCTGGGGGGACTGGAGGGACTGGGAGGCTCCAGGCGGGGTCCTCCTGGAACTTCCCCAGGGACTGCCCCTGACTCGCAGGGCCTGGGGCAGGGGAGGGCGGGGGCCCACCTGGAACTTGTCCTCGGGGACCACGTCGTGGTCGGCCAGCGCGTGCAGCAGGGGGAAGGCGCTGTCCACCGCCACCGCGATCTCCGTGCGGTGCAGCCTCAGGAGCCGGCGCAGCACCGCGTCCGCCATGGGGTCTGCTTGGGGCTGGGCGGGGGTCCCGGGATGCTGGCAGCCCCTCTCCTCGCCTCGGGTCCCGGCGGGCCTGTGGGGCGTCCGCGCCCGCTGTGCACCCGTGTCCCCCGCCTGCAGCCCCGCGCACCCCTGTTATACCGCGGCGACCACGCAAAGCGCAAAGGCAGCTCCGCCCGGTGCCCAATCAGGGCCAGAGCCTCGGCCTCCCTGCGGCGGGGACGCTTCCGTGTGATGGAGGCGCTGCTCGCCCGCCCGCTCCTGGGAAGTCTCGCCCAGCCTGACTCACCCACAGGGGCAGCTGCCTTGGGGGCTGGGGACTGAGACTTGCTCTGGGCGGGGCTCAGAGGCCTCTGGCTTCCGAATGTGTCCCGGTCCTGCCTCCCCAAGGTTCCTGCTGGAATGGGGCAAAAGCGGGACAGGTGCACTGGGGAGGCTCGGTGCTCAGGGGCCTGACTGGCTGTCAGGGTGCACTGGCCCCTCCAAGTGGCCTGCAAGAGCCTCCATGGAGGCTGGATTGGGGTGGCTCCCTGGGGTACCTCCACACAAGCTGAGAGCCCCACTTGGAGGCCCACCTGGGGCTGTGGGAGGAGCCTGATGCAGGGTCCCAGTCTGATGGAGGAGACTGTAGGGTTGGTGTCCCGCCCTAGGCAGCCCTGGGCGATGCCGAAGAGGCTCCTGACTTCGCCACCCTAGGCTGGCTGTGTGACGCCAGCCAAGTCCTTTCCTTCTCTGAGCTTCAGTTCCCTCGTCTTCAAAAGGGGTGTATTTGCCTGGGGATGGAGGTTCCCACTGACCCCCTACTTCCTTCCCCCAGGTGCTTTAGAAGGAAAGCAACTGGCCCCATGGTGGAGGCTCTGAGGGTGGCCCTGAGTGTGAGCTCCCGAGGGGTCTTCCTAGGACCAGTGACACAGGCTGAGGGACACTGCAGCTTGGACAGGAGCTTCGGGGGCATCTGGGAAGACATCCCAGAGAGGAGCTGCCATGGACAGGAGTCGAGGGTCCCAGGTGGACGTGGGTGGGGACAGTGCCCCCAGTAAAGCAGGAGCAGGTGCAGAGGTCTGGGGCCTGCAAGGATGCGGGCATGGCCTCGAGGGGGCTGGCCTCAGCGGGAGGCCTTGGTGACACAGACCCCTTGTCTGTCCGGTCAAGCCGGCGAGGCAGGCCCTGTGTGCAGGCTGCAGAGACCCACGAAGGACTCTGGGCACATTGCTCCCCCCGAGCCTGAGAAGGAAGCGACCTGCCCAGCATGGGTCAGGGTTGAAGAGTGACAAAGGTACCAGGAAGCCTGAATCTGGGCAGCACTGGGCTGAGGTGACTGACGCAGTGAGAGATGATTCCCGCGTGGGCAGATGTGCCATAGGTCGTTGGGCAGCCAGAGTCCGGGATGGGGAGCAGCAGGCACCTCTCCTCAGGACCAGGGCTCGGTCTCGATTTCTGCTTCTGCCTCCAGCCCCAGTGTCCCCCTGAATGTTCTGCACGTGCTGAGATTCCTCCAGAAAAGACTCCAGGGGTGCCTGATAACAAATCTGGGGAGGAAGGTGGGGCCAGAGGTGGTCAGCCTGGCTTCAGGTGCTGGGGTTGTCGTGGGGAGCTGTGGGGGAGGGGATCCATCTCAGACAGCCAGGGGTGGCTGTGGAGTGTCAGGCAGTGTGGAGCTGGGGTCAGAACAGGCTGGGTGAGGTGTGGGGTGCCCCAGGAGCTCTGAGCTGGGAGCAGGGCCCTCTCGCTGCCCGTGTCTGGGTGTGTGGCATGCCCAGGAGCTCTGAGCTGGGGGCAGGGCCCTCTCGCTGCCCATGTCTGGGTGTGTGGCATGCCCAGGAGCTCTGAGCTGGGGGCAGGGCCCTCTCGCTGCCTGTGCCTGGGTGTGTGGAGTGTGCTCTCTCACTCCCTGCACTGTACCTTCTGCAGACCCCAAGAGGGAAGACCTTCCTGGCCCACCCTGCAGGTGTCCACTCCAAGAGGCACATCCTGTCCCTAGCCGGGTCAGGCCTCAGCTCGCCGGGTTTCCTGCCCTCTCCCCTGGAGTTCTGTATTTATGGCAAAAATATTTAGAATAAGCACAAGCCAAAATCGCACAGAAGCGCAGCTCTGCACGGGCCCTGCCTGCCCTTGAAACACCCTGTTCTCCTTGCTCCTCCGTGGTCAGGGGTCTCACCAAGGGAGGGCTCACTAACATCAAGTTCAACGGCAACCCTCAGGCCCACGGGCTCCACTATCCATGCAGAAAGGTCCCGGGGTGCCAGGGAATGGCGCACACAGCTTTGGGATGACCGGCAGCTGTTGCTCCCAGCAGCTCGGCTCCCTCTCTCCTGTGAGGCCGTCCTGCCCTGAAGTCACTCCCTGCAACCTGGTGGCTCTTCTCGCCCCAGGTGGTTAGTGAGTCAGTGGAAGCCTTAGCCCAGAGGTAGGTCAAGGGGAATTAAAAACTGAAAAGCAACATCCAAGCCTGCACTTCACTTTTTTTTAAAAGACCTGAAATCTTTGCAGGTGCAGCTGTGTCACTGGGCTGGGGCCTGACCCCTGTGGGCAGGCGTCACCCAGCCTCTTGCATGGAGGTTGACAAAGAGGCCCCTGTAGAATTCTGGACTTTCCGCCATGCCGTGGGGCTTTCCGTCCCAGCCCCTTGACTCTCAATCCGGAGCTGCCAAGGCTCTCTGGAGGAGGCCCTGGTGACACAGACCCCTGGAAGGGAATGCGGGGCCAGGGTCTTGGCCCTATCTTAGTGGGACTGAGCCTCAGTTTCCCCAAGAGGCACCTGGGCAGCAGAGCTCTGGGACAGTATTGGGCTCCATCCCTGAGCCCCGTGTCCTTAGATGGAGCAGAGGGCTCAGCAGCCCTTTCTCCCACATCCGTGTTGTGCCCTAGGACGCCTGCAGGCCTAGCATGCCCGGGCTGGGCCCTGAGAGCTTTGTGATTCTGCTCACTCCATCAGCAGAATGGTCTCCTTAGGTCTTCATAGTGATTGGTGCCATCCACAGATGTGGAAACTGAGGCCCACTGTGAGGAAGAGCTTGGCTAAGGGGCAGAACCATGACTCAGGCCTTGATGACTCAGGACAGAGGCTCTCCAGGTCCAGGCTCCTGCTGGGCTGGGTGCCCCTTGGGTGCCCAGGTCACATCAGGTGTTTCTAGCCTGCAAAGACAGTGGGCACTGCCCATGTGATGCATGCAGAAGTGGGGAGAAGCTAGGTCCCAATGGCAGAGCAGGGCAGGGGCTGGGGGGGCTCAGCCTTGGCCCCTCAAACGAGCCTGGATTCTGTGCCTTCTCCCCTGCTGCAGGTGGAGGCTCCATCCCCTGTGGCTCCCCGGAAGTGTCAGGCTCCCAGAGGCCAGGAGCCAGAGTCAGGATGGCCTTGGGTGATGTGGAGCCCTGGCCAGGGCTCTAGGCCCTGCTCCCGCAGCTTGGCCAGGTGGTCTGGCATCAGGGAAGGTGTGGGTCTCTGCAGGACACTTTGTGAGGACCCTGGAACCCTCCTGGCCACCAGCTTCCTCACTAGGCCTCAGTCTACCCACTGTGGAGAGGAAGTTGCCTCTGCTTGTTGAGGGCGGGATGGCCATTCCACATGGGTGTCCAGGTCTGGGAGGCAGCCCTGAGCACCGGTGAGCTCCAAAGCAACCCTGCTCAGCCTAGGGCATGAGGGTGGGGTCCCTGTTCTCTCCCCTCCCAGTCCTCTTGCCTCAAACATGCCCAGCTGGCTGTGCCTGTTTCCCTGGTCTGGCCTCTCCACTGCGGTCCATGGTGGGTATATGTCAGACAGCATCGCTCTTCTCAGTGAACTGGGGCCACTGGTGACAGAGATTCTCCTCCTTTTTGCGGAATTAACCACCTGCCTGGCAGAATTACCAAATGGCCCAGCTGGTGGGCAGGGTCCCTCTTGGTGGACAGGCCCTGGGAGAACGGAGCCCTGCCCTCTGCCCCCCGAAGCCCACCTGCTACGGGGAGAACGTTGGTCTCCGCCCAACATTCGTATGTTATGTCCCCACCCCCAGGGTGATAGCAGTAGGCGGTGGGACCTTTGGGAGGTCGTTAGGTCGCAAGGACTCTGCCCTCATGGATGGATTACTGCCCGGATACAAGGAGTCTGATGGCCGGGCGCAGTGGCTCACACCTGTAACCCCAGCACTTTGGGAGGCCGAGGCAGGTGGATCATCTGAGGTCAGGAGTTCGAGAACAACCTGGCCAGCATGGTGAAACCTTGCCTCTACTATAATACAAAATTAGCCAGGTGTGGTGGCTCATGCCTGTAATCCCGACTACTCAGGAGGCTGAGGCAAGAGAATCACTGGAACCGGGGAGGCAGAGGTTGCAGCTAGCCGAGATCGCACCACTGCACTCCAGTCTGGGCCACAAAACTAAAATTCCATCTCCAAAAAATAAAATAAAATGTTTATACAATAAGGACTCTGCCAGGAGAGGGAAAATGGATGAAAGTGAATATCTGAAATATCACATATGTGATAAGGGTCTAATATCCAGGACACATAGAGGACTCTTAAAATAATCCGGCCGGAAGTGGTGGCTCAAGCCTGTAATCCCAGCACTTTGGGAGGCCGAGGCAGGTGGATCACGAGGTCAACAGATCAAGACCATCCTGGTCAACAAGGTGAAACCCCGTCTCTACTAAAAATACAAAAAATTAGCTGGGCATGGGAGCACGTGCCTGTAATCCCAGCTACTCAGGAGGCTGAGGCAGGAGAATTGCCTGAACCCAGGAGGTGGAGGTTGCAGTGAGCCGAGATTGTGCCATTGCACTCCAGCCTGGGCAACAAGAGCAAAACTCCATCTCAAAAAAAAAAAAAAAAAAAAGACAATCCAATTAAAAACTGGGCAAAGGACTAAAATAGACACGTCTCCAAAGAAGACAGGTACATGGCCACCAAGCACATTAAAAGATGCTAAGCAGCACCAGTCACTTGGGAAGTGCAAACTAAAACCAAATGAGGCCTTAATCCCAGCACTTTGGGAGGCTGAAGCAGGCAGATCACCTGAGGCTGGGA